GTAAAAACACTTTGAAAGGAATTGCTGCCATTATTTGGTGCTAAAAGTAGACAAAAGAGATCCTTGTTTTCCAAATTTCACCTGGTAATAATGGTAACAAATAAAACTAAACAAATAAATTAATGAAAATTTAACTACGAACAGAGTTTAAACAGTAATTGTTTAAATCAAAGTTTCCGAGTTTTGCCTAGATCTAGACATAAAGTTATTTTGGGATTAGGATAAATTTGCTTATACTTGTAAAGTTTTATTTCAAACAGTGTTTGGGTTTCGGAAAACAATTTGAGAGCAATAAAAAGAAATTTCAATGGAATCAAAAAGACCTTTCATAATCAATTATGGCCTTTAGAACTATGGACCAACCAGACGAGGAGTTCATTGCGGATGGACCACTTAAAGTTTTCGCTATATTCAAACGGCCTGCCTAATAAACCTGTCAAATATTAATATGCTAAAAAATGTCTGCTCATTGATCTGTCGGATCTCTTTAAATATCACCCCTTTTGCAAAGAGGGGGGGGGGAGAGATTCGTTACTAGGTACAAAATTCACAGATATGCGTAACCATTGAATTCTTTCTTTTTAGGGGTGGCAGTTCGTTTCTAGGTGCCCTAGGGGGGATAGTTAAAGAGATCCGATATGTTTGCTGTTAAGTTTGTCTGCCAACACGCCGTTCGCTTATCATGTGCATAAAAGCAAAGACTTTGGTTCAGCGGTCGTCCGGATCAAGTGAGGACATACCCAGTATCTATAGGCTAAAAGACAGCTATATTAAACTTCATAACATTTTGTTGACGCTTAGCTTACCATACCCAAAAACCTGCTTTATTACTCGGAATTTAGAACATGGAAGAGAGATACAAGTTATTACCAATACTGTAAACAAAATGTTTACCGACTAACTTGTCAAGCAAATGTGGGAAAAACGGACCAGATCGAAAGCATAGAGACGTTAGTCCCTCCGAATTATTCCAGAACTTCAAATAACTTAAACTTAAGACCCTCTAACAAAATCTAAGGTAGTTTTAGCCGGTTTCTTGTATGAAGTTTTATTGATGTTTATTTTTTCTTTTAAAAATTTAAAATTGCAACTAATTTGAAAACGATTTGCTTAATAATTATTTATCGATTTTGAGGAGATATGGGCAATAAATGGGGTGTATTTTGAAGATTTGAGCTATAAAATCCTTTATTAATTCAGTTCTCCAAATTTCCTGCTCTTTTCTTTAAAGTAGTTTCAGTTAAAACAGTCTAAAACCGCCTATTTTTTGGCGTTTGAATATTAGAACTCAAAACTGTAGACTTTTTTGTCTGATTAGCCATTCAGGCATTAAATTTATTCCTTTTTTTAGACGAGACACCTCTCCTAGTTTAAATAATAAAACGAATCCGAAGTTCAAAGGCAAAGTCTAATTTCATTCTGCTTAATCTCTGTTCAATTTCAGTTTTTTGCCATATTGAAAAAAAGGTAAAGAGAGCGAGGGAGAGAAAAAAGGAGAGAGATTTAGGAATAAATTAAGAAAATTACCCTGAGCAAAGTCTCCTCGGGCGTATAAATACCGGAGTTACTATGATTTAAAAAATACTTAACCTTTCAGCTGTAATTAATTGCTGAAAGCCATAGTCTCAAACAATGTCTGATGATAGTACCAACAAATTATTTCTAAAATCCGGAGGCCAAAAAGCCTGTTATTTTCGAAAACTAACGGAACTGAATAGATTTATTTCTTAATTAGTCTGGTAGCCTTTGAGCTTTTTATTGTTAATAAGATAATAAAAATATATCAAAATTCAGATTAGATTTATATTGAAATGGTTCATTGAGCGTGTCGAATTGAAGTGAAAGAAAACTAATTTTTTATAACAAATGGACAATTTGAAAGTTTCGCTTTTTGATTTGCGATGCCATTTTTTTGTGTAATAGCAAGCGTGTTTTGCAAGGAGATAAAAAACAAAACAAAAGACCATGCTCAAAAAAACCAGACGGTAAAATGATGAAAGTATCAATAATAATCATAAAAAGTTATTATTAGGTATTATTATAATCATTACTATTAGTATTATTATTAGTATTATTATTATTATAGTATTATCATAATTTTATTATAGTATCTTGGTGGCAATTTGAAAAAATTTCAAAATCAATTTATTTTATTCTCATGATTGAGCACCGATCATATGACTGCGGCTGAATAAAACTTAATATGTGAGACTCTTCAAAAGACATCATTTAATTTTAAAGGGAAAGTCCTGCAGGTCAAAATTAAATTGAAAGTGATGGTCCACTTAACAACACCTTCGGTGAAACTGTTAACCTGCTATTCTTAATCTAACATTATTAACATTTACAAATTAATGTGACATTTGTTTTAAAGCTGCATCAGTTGGTCTCTTTTTTTTTCCTTTGAAAATCCGCCGGCTTATTATGACATGTAGAGCTTTAACCGATTATCAGCCAATGCCAAAATATATTGTTGTCAATTTTTTTTACTATAGTCATAAAAATCTGAACATAAACCGAATAGACAAAAACAAAAACTGAATTAGACAAAAATTTTTTAACATAGTCCCAAACAAAGTTATGTAACAATTGAGTGGAATTCATTGACACGATGACAGACGGGAGTAAAATTAAGACATGACCATCGACAAAAGTCAAGGATGAGATAAAATAAAATAAAGTTAACAAGCTAGACGAAAAGCAAAAAATTACAAACTCTGAAAAGATGACATCATTTTGTGGCGATTAAATCTGCTTGCGTTCGTCGATTTTTTCTACGGTTGATTAATTTCGAGAAAAATCTGCTCATCCGGGTTGACAAAAGCGATAGTCATACAATTCTCAAGGAAATTACCAACATTCCAAAAAATTATGAAAAGCCTATGACAAGCACTTTTATATATATATTTGTTATACGACATTTTTTCACTATATGTATTTCTTTGACTAGCATGTTTCCATAAGTTTCAAAAAAATTACAAAAGTACAAAAAATAAGAAAGGACATATTTTCTATTTCGTTCTTTTCATTCGATTAATTTTTGTTTTGTTTCCAAGAACATTAATACTGGAGAAAAATACCCATTTGTTAGAACGACATTCAAAAAATCAAAGAAAAGTTGCTGATTGAGATTATGCCATGAAGTAACCCGCACTGACAGAAATAGTTTCCGGTCGATTTAATTTGACTTTAAACCGATTTTAAATCGATCCAAATTGATTAACCATGTACATTTTACGAACTTAAATGGATTTTAAATCGATTTAAATCGATCTTTTTGATAATTTTAAATCAATTTAAGTGTCTAAAAAATCGATTTAAATCGATTTCGATGGATTTTCCGACTCAGCAAAATCCATCCGAATCTCACTTAAATCCATTTTAAATCGATATAAATCGATCGTTTTAAAAATTTTAAATCGATTTAAGGGTCTAAAAAATCGATTTAAATCGATTTCGATGATTTTTCCAACTCACTAAAATCCATCCGAATCTCACTTAAATCCATCAGAATCTCACTTAAGTCCATTTTAAATCAATTTAAATCGATCTTTTTGAAAATTTTAAATCGATTTAAGTGTCTAAAAAATCGATTTAAATCGATTTCGATGGTTTTTCCGACACTCTAAAATCGATTTTTTTTTTACTAACACGGCGAAAAAAACATACTCCTTAAAAAAGGTTGGAAATTTTTATTCTCGATTTTTTAAACAAAAACACGCTTACCAGATGTTATAGAATTCATTAAAATGATCCACATAAATCAAGTTTTAAACTCAAAAGTTTGCAAAAAAATCATAGAAAACCATTGTAAATCAGATTATGGGCAAAATCTTGTGTAACAAACCAGAAAAGGGTCAGGTAAAACTAAAATGAAATCTCAATAATATGCAATAAAATCATAGAAAAACATGAAAGTAAATCAGATTTTAAGCAACAACTTATGAAACGAATCAAGAAAAGGGTAAATATAGATCAGTTTTTGAACTCAAAATATGCAAGAAAGTCATAGAATTTTATCGATATTTTGGTCTTTTTATTTGGTCTTTTTTATGCTACAATACGCTATGGATGAAAAATGAAAAATGATAGGCAAGAAAAGAAGTAAATGCAAAAAAAAAAATTAAAACTGATAAAACTCGAATGAAAAAAATCGATTTAAATCCGTTTTAATCCCCTTAAAAATGAAAACAAATTCAGACTGGAAAAAATGATTTTAAATTGATTTAAAATCAATTTGGATCAATTTTTTTAGTTGGGATTTATGATCAATTTAAATCGATTTTAAATCGATCCAAATCAATCTTCATTTTTTTTTATTTAATCTTCGTACTTTTTTCATACTAAAATCGATCTAAATTTAATCAACGTACTTTTTTCATACTAAAATCGATCTAAATTTAATCAACGTACTTTTTTCATACTAAAATCGATCCTAATCCATTTTTGTCAGTGCGGAAAGAAGTAGC